GGAGGGAGGGAGGGAGGGAGGGAGGGAGGGAGGAAAAGGGAGAGAGAGGGAGAGAGAAAGAAAGAAAGAAATCTCAGAGGGATCTCTGAGCTAAGCCCAGTAGGATATTACATCTGATAATGCTTCTTTTATTTTGTATGTTGGGAATTAAATTTGGCAGTCCCCTACACACAACCAAAGGGTTGAACCCATCCATAGTCTGTTACACGCTAGGCTAGTTAGTACTCTGTCACTGAGCTACATTCCCAGCCCTAGGTAAGTTCTTGTTGCTATGTGGCTAAGTCTTAGCAAGTGTCAGGTTTTTTACAGTGTTTTATTTTTAGACCCCTCCTACCCCACACCCCAGTGACAGACCCCAGTGGCTGTCTCCCTGTTATTTCTTCTCAGCCCTATCTTCCCCTGCTTTCCTGTTCCTTGGTTGTCTCTGTAGGTGGATCCAGACCAAGTCATTCTTTCTCACAGCCCCATGAAACTCTTCCTGAAGTACCACAACAAGCAGATGCTAGTGTCTGGGCAGGGGCCCCTGGTGGAGAATGCCAGAGCGTATCCTTTTTGTTTTGCTGTTCTGGATGGAGAGGAGGGTGAAGGCTTGGGTGCCACAGTTGTGTGGTGGGATGACGGGAAACAAGGATAAATGCTTTGTGTGGTCGGTCCTTGAGACTGCTGGTAACAGACCACATACCATATCAGTCATCTGCAAAGCTTAATGTCCAGAGTCCTTTGTCTTCATCTTGAGGAATCTTGATCTGTTGTGTCTCCAGTAAACACTCAAGAATCTCTAAGCCAACGATTCTCAGCCTGTGAGTTGTGACTCCTCTGGGGGTCGAATGACCATTTCACGGGGGTTACATATCAGATAACATTAAATTTTACATTATGATTTATAACAGTAGCAAAATTACAGTCATGAAGTAGCAACAGTAATTTTATGGTTGGGGGTTACCATGACATGTGGAACTGTATTAAACGTCACAGACTGTCCTCAGGGAGCTTGTTCCTGTGCCCTGGATGCTTCCTGGCACCATGCCAGGCTGTGCTCCAAGGCAGGCTGGACCCAGGTGAGAGCATGGGGAATGTGACTTACTCAGGGAGTCGCACTCGGGAGGGAGAAACACACCTGCACACAGCAGAGGAGTGTGTAAGAGAGGGTGTTCTCTAGAGGAACAGAACCGATAGGTAAACACATTATAAATGGGATTTAGTCACTTTCCGTACACAGTAGGAGCTGGGTAGTTCAGAAATGGCTGTGTACTGGTAGAGAGCCCAAGAACTCTGCAGCTGCTCAGGCCACACTGCTTGAGGCCTCAGGAGTCCCCAGGTTGGAATTCCTCAGACCTCCTATGTCTGGACTATCTCCAAAAAGTGCTCCTACTCTGGGGAGAGTCTTTCCCCTCAGTTAGCCCTTTCTGATTTATGTCTCTTAGGTGAATGTAGGTCCAGTCAAGGTGACAGTCATCACAGGAGCGGGAAGCAAGCTCAGCTATGAGGGTGCTGCGAGCAAGTCTGACCACCTGTGTGTGATTATCAGGCCTGTGAAGTGAAAGGGAAAAACTGACCCACAGGTTGTTCTTTGACGTCCATAATCCCTGCAAATAAATATAATTAAAAAAAAGATTAACTGTCACAGCACAAGGGGCTGGGAATGAGCCTCAGTTGGAGAGTATTTGTGTATCGTGCACAAGGCCTTGGTTTGAATCCCAGGTACCACAAAGAAGAAAAGATGGCATAGGGCCAGGGCAGTGGTTCAGCAGGTAAAAGCACTTGAGTTAAGCCTAACCACCTGAGTTAGACCCCCAGGTTCTACACAGTGGGAGGAGAGAGAGCAGGCTTTGAAGTTGTTCCTGACATCCACCATGCCCCTTCCCCAGCTAAACAAATATATTTTAAAAATTGAAAAGGTGGTCTGAGGGATTGAGATTGGCTCCAGGTTTGAGTATCGAAGTGCAGAGGGGACACCTCTGGAGCAGACAAGGTGTCAGTCAGATTGAGAGGAATTGGACATTAGAGGACAGAAAGGTGGGCTGGGTGTGGACAGTGTCGTCCTAAGCTCTGAGCAGTGGAGAGCTGGTGCAGGTTTTACTGCTGCTGGGCAGATCTGTTAGAATGAGCATTTGGGGGATACTGGTTTTGAGTGTCATCTGAGACTATTAGATGAGATGGGAGTGGAGTTAGGGACAGGAAGATGGAGGCAGCTCTTAGAGGAGGGCAGGCTGGAGTCAACATGGTCTTCTGCATGACAGTCCCTTCCTTGCTGAATGGAGTTTGCCTGTCAGTGTTTAATACTTAGTTTCCTCTAAAGTATTTGTGACTGTTGTGTGACTTTTCCTGGGGAGATGTGACCAACCATCTATGCAGCCCAGATAGGGAAACAAGGACAGACCATTGGCTTAAAGAACCAGACAGTTAGTTGGGGTGAAAGACAACCACTTCACCAAAAGGCACACCTCAGAAAATCTGGGGTGGCATGAATGACGACTGGTGAAAACTGCACCCCCACCCCGGGAGCTCCCTGCACAGCTTGCAGGCAGCTTGGCTAATGGGAGTGTCTCTTCCCCCAGAGTCTTGTATAACCATATGGGGGAGGGACTTTAAGCAATACGGGAGGGAGGTTGTGGATCTGGTAACTTTCAGGAGTTCCTACTCCCTCCAGGAGGGAATGTTTCAATCCAGAGGAAATAGCTATTCACCAGTTACTTGATTTTGCCTAGCTCCTCCCAACCCAGTACTTAGGGTCCCTTGGCTCACGGAGCACCAGTTTGAATGGCCCTGAGCATGGCATAAGCTCCTTGAGTACACAGTAAGGGTTTGGTCTCTTGTTCTTTGGGTCTTGCTGGTGTAGATAGAATCTAGTTTCGAATACGCCCTGGTGGGTAGCAAGGGATTGCACTGGTGTTGCATGCGTTTGCTCTGTCTGTGCAGTCACGGCCTGCACTTGGTGCCTATGGGATTTATGATAGCTGCCTGCCTGCCTGCCTGCCGTGGTCTGGACTGGGTTTGGGTCTGCCCTCTTGTTACCTGATGTATCTATAAAAGCATCTTCCCAGAACTGTGTAGCTTTGCTTCCCTGATCTTGCTACAGACTAGGCTTCCAGAATGTGGTGACGGTCGATGAGCTGCGGATTGCCTTCCCAGAGCTGGACATGGTGGACCTTCAGCGCCGTCCGAAGTCCATGGTAATAAGGACGGTGGGTTACTTCACCCTTCACAATAGTCCTGGGCTCTTTTTGTGGTTGTCTTCCTGTTTCTTCTCAGTGTTGGTTCCTCTTGTTGATCTTGCCACCCTTCTGCGAGGAGGTACATATTGTTTTACGGTGCTTCTGCACTGGTCTTCTTGCAGAGGTGTATCTGGCCGAGGATCGAATTCCCTGGATAGATAAGAATGTTCGAGAGAAGCAGTGGGCTTCACACTCTGGCCTTCTGCTTTGTTGGAATTACTTAGCAACTCCACTCAGGGTCTTGGCATTTGCTTCAGTTAACAGTGCACTTCGGTGGCTTCCCCAGGTTTTCCTGGGGAACCATTAACCTCTGTAAGTTACTCCTGCTCCTCTATCCTGAAGCACGGCCGGGTTGCCTTGTGAGGAGAGAAGCACTGATGATGTTAACAATCTAGGATTTGATGAAATACAGTTTTAGATGGATAAGCTTACTTCATTAACTTAATAGAAAATAGGTTATAAGTTCTCCTACCAGGATTCTCTAGCTGTAGAGCAGATCATGTCCTTTGAGAGCTCTCTCTTGAGTCACTAAAATTCTAAGAACCAGAATATAGAGTGGGGACACATCTCAGAATAGCTCCAAGGCTGAGCCTGGCACAGGAGAGGTGACTCACGTCAGCCAAGACTCTCGTTTGGGGCAGAGTGAGCCGCAGGCTGGTGACAAGAAAACCTAGAAGTGGCATAAGGATGAGAGTCTTCGTGCCCGGAGAACTCCTCTCCCACAGGCTGCCGCCTCCTTTAGCTCCCTGATTCTAGAAGCCCTTCCGTGACCAGGACTTTATTTTCAGTCCTGGCTGGAGAAGGACAGCTGACCACCAACCATCTTGGCCAACTTTCCACATGGCATCTCTCAGCCTGTATTGAGTCCAGTCTGGACCTTGGCTTTCTTTCCCTTGTGCATCTTCTTCCTAAGTTCTGTCTTGTTCTTGGCTTGAGCTGGTCCTTGGGGGTGGTCTCTGACCTGTGGGGGACCTGTCATTCCTGCTACTCAACCCTGGAGACTAGACGCTCCAGGAGTGGAACGTGACTAGCATTGATGGGCCTCTTCTTTGTCTTTTGGCAGCACCTGAGGAATGACTTCCCTGTCATTGAAGGTAAAAGAGGCCCTGTGCCTGGGTAGGTGTGGGTTCTTCGTTTTCTCTCTCCTTTCAGACTCTTTTTTTTTTTTTTTTTTGGTTTTTCGAGACAGGGTTTCTCTGTATAGCCTGGGCTGTCCTGGAACTCACTCTGTAGACCAGGCTGGCCTCGAACTCAGAAATTTGCCTGCCTCTGCCTCCCAAGTGCTGGGATTAAAGGATCCTTTCAGACTTTTATGCAGATGGTGCATATCAGTGCACATCAGGACCTGGGTCACCTGAGGGCCCTGGCTGTCCACTTGGTACTCTGAGACATGCATTGGGGGTTTCTCCTTCTCTACAGTGCTTAACTTACTTGAAGAATTATAGTAACTTGCAAGAAGTCATAGGTATGGACAGTCTAGTATAGTGTCACTTAGGTCTCCCTTGGACAATAAAGACACTGTAACTTCTTGCTGCCATCCTGAAGTAAAATAACTTTCTCATAACTCATATCAGAAAGTAATCAGTGTAGCCTCCCACTTGTGAGGCTGAGGTGAAAGGATTTGAGTTCAAAACTATATGGGCTTCACAGTGACTCTTATCTCAAAACCAAACAAAGTAGTTTAGTGCAGTATTATGCCCTCACTGTACCAGGGAGTGAAAGGAAAATGTCTTGGTGACACATTGGTGTTATAATTATCTGAGAAGTAAAATGAGTGTTCTAAACAGAGTGACCAGGAATGTTCCAGCAATGGATAAGGCTGTTAGAGCTCTAATACAGATATGTGGGCAGAATTGCCACTAGGAAATTGATTTCTAAAATGGAGAACAATTCTTGGTCATTTTTTTGTTTTTGTTTGTTTTGGAGATAGGATTTCTCCCATGTAGCCCTGGCTGTCCTAGAACTTGCTCTGTAGACTAGGCTGGCCTTGAACTCACAGATTTGCTTGCCTCTGCCTCCCGAGTGCTAGATTAAAGTTGTGTGCCACCACTGCCATTTAATTTGTGGTAAATTTTTAAGAAATATTAGGTGTGCCTTGGTTGATTGTATGATCACTTAAAAATTGTTAAACCTGTTCAAAAATACTTTGGACGGCTAGAGAAATGGCTTAGCAGTTAAGAACAGTTGATACTTTTGCAGACCTAGAATTGAGTCCCAGCACCCACATGATAGCTCACAACAATCTGTAAATTCAATTCCTGATAAATCAAGTACCTCCTTTTAGGTATCCACAAACTTGTATCAGGTATGCACATACATACATGCTGGAAAAACATGCATATACATAAAATAAGCAAGTAATTAATACTTGGTGGTTAGATATAAGATGGAGTTGCTCCAGTAGTTATAGGTGAGTATTGGGACCTCGGGTACCACTAGGATAGGACAGTTTTTGCCTGTGGAGAGTTCTCTACTAGCCGAGCAGTAGTGGCGCACACCTTTAATCCCAGCACTCAGGAGACAGAAGGAGGTGGCTCTCTGATAATCTGAGGGTGGCCTGGTCTACAGAGTGAGTTCCAGGACAGCCAGGGCTATATAGAGAAACCCTGTCTTGAAAAAACAAAACAAAAAAAAAAAGAAAAAGAAAAAAAAAAAGAGTTCTCTGCTGAGTGTTCAGTTGTGACAATCAAAATAAGTCCTCTTATCTTTTAATTTTAGCTTTATTGTTTAAATGTTTGTTTTTGACACAGGGCCTCTATATAGCCCTGGCTGTCCTAGAACTCACTCTGTAGACCAGGCCACCCTAAGATTGACAGAGAGCCACCTCCTTCTGTCTCCTGAGTGTTGGGATTAAAGAGTGCCTGGTTCACACTTTTATTTTTTACTTTTATTTAGGTACATATATGTGTTTGTGTACATGCCACATGTATTCAGGGACCTATGGAAGCCAAAAGAGGGCACTGGATTCTTGGCGCTGGAGTTACAGGTGGTTGTGACCCACTGGACATGGGTGCTGGGCGTTGAACTCAGGTCCTCTGCAGGAATAGCCAATGTTTTCAACCACTGAGCTCTCTCTGTCCCCTTACTTTGCTTGCTTTGTTTTGAGACAGAGGCCTCACTCTGTAGCCTGGACTGGCCTTGATCTTTTTTGGGGAAAGATCTCATGTAGTAATCACTGCCTTCCGGTTTGTGGCTAGATCAGTAGCCGAGGGTGACTGTGAGCTATTTAGCGTCCCATCTCCACCTCCCAAGTGGGAGTGCTATTACGTAGGTGTATGCTATCATGTCAGGCCTTAGTTTTTATTTGTTTATTTTGTATTGCTAGGGTTGGGATTTAGGGCCTTGTTCTTGCTAGGCAAGCACTTGATTACTGAGCCACACTTCCAGGGCCCGTGGTTATTTTTATTTCAGATATAGTTGAGGCAACTGAAGCTTAGCAGTAACTACCACAGTTCCACAGGAGACTTGGCTGTTAGGATCAAGCTTAGGGATTCCTTATTCTGAGTTGTCATGCGTGGCTCAGAGAAGTGACTGAGGGAGGCCAGCCCCTGTAGAGTGCAGTGGTGCTTGTAGGGTGAGGTATGGTGGGTTGAGTTCCATCCGAAGAAGCAGCAGCAGGAGATCTGCTGCTTCTCTGAGACAGCAAGGGAGACAAAGGACACCCTTTGGGTGTTCCTTGTTGGGCCATGGGCTCTGTTCATCCAGGGTACACTGGGACATGGCTTGGCTAGGGATGCTCAGATGTGCACTTTAGTAACGACCTCTAGCTCTGGGTAGGTGTTGCTAACTGGCCCCTGTAGTCTCTGAGGGGCCTTCAACCTACCACCACAAAGGGCAGGGCAAGTACCCTGCTCCCTCATCTCTGTGCCTGTGCCTTTGATTTTTAGGGGTCATTCTTCTTGGGGAGCCAGTCCGCTGGGAGACAAACCTGCAGCTGATTATGGATGTCCTTCTTAGCAATGGCAACCCTGGAACTGGCCTGGCAATAGCTCCGTATCCCCACCTCCCTGTCCTGGCTAGCAACATGGACCTGCTGTGGATGGCCGAAGCCAAGATGCCCAGGTAAGGACAGGGTATCCCTGACTTTTACCTCATGAGCCTTGGAAATGCCACCATAACCTGGCCTCTGAGAGTAAAAGCTTTCAAGAGTTACTTCATGATAATTATTAAACTAAAACTACAGATTGCTGAGCATGAAGACGTGGTGAATGATTTTTAATATGTACCCCATTCCTAATGACCTCAACGTGCCATCACATGGGCAGCTTTAAGGGAGATAATGAAGGCTGTTGCTAAGATCTCTTTTGGGCAGGTTTGGTCATGGCGCCTTTCTGCTATGCCTGGAAACCATCTACCGGAAAGTGACAGGCAATGAGCTGAAGTACGAGGGCCTGATGGGCAAACCCAGCATCCTCACTTACCAGTATGCAGAGGATGTGATCAGGCAGCAGGCTGAGAGGCGGGGCTGGGCCGCCCCCATCAGGAAGCTGTATGCTATAGGGTAAGTCCACACATCTCCATTCTCATGGCTTCTTTTCTTTCCATCTGCCCACACCACCCTGGCTTCCCCGCAGCCAAGTCACACTGCCCCCAGGCTGATCTCTGTTCTGGTAGCTTCGAAACGTTAAACTTAGGTTTTCTCTTCTTTGCCCTCTGGTATTGCTGCCCTGCCAGTGATAACCCTATGTCTGATGTCTACGGTGCCAACCTGTTCCATCAGTACCTGCAAACAGCAAATCTTGGAGAGGACGGGCAACAGACTGGTGGACAGCAGAAGCAGCGGCCTTCAGCGACCCAGAGCTGTGCTTCCATCCTGGTATGCACTGGCATATACAGTTCTCAGGACCCAGGCTCCCAGGTGCCTACTCCTGGAAGGGAAGAGCTTCCGTTCCATGGGCACCGAGACTTCAGCTTCAGTCCAGAGCTCCTAGAGGCCTCCCACATCGTTCACGATGTAAATGAAGCCGTTCAGCTGGTTTTCCACCAGGAGGGTTGGGCTTGAGAGAAGAGAGATGTACCAGAGACAAAGGGGCTGTTGGGACACACGCTCAGGGAATCCTGTGTGCCAGGCTGTGGTCTGGATCACAGGCATCAAGTCCGAGCCTGGTCTCTTGCCATTGCTTCCTGGGACAAAGAAGAGCGCAGCTTCTGTAGCTGCACAGTGCCTTGGGGAGCTGTGTATCAGGAGAAGGGATGGATTTCTGGGCCCTTCCTGTGCATCTCTTGAAGTCTGACCGCATGCTGGTCTCTTTACCTCTGTGCCTCAGTGTCCTTCTCTCAGCGAGGACCTTTTTTTTTTTTTTTTCCAGACAGGGTCTCACTATTGTAGCTCCGGCTGTCCTGGAAGTCACTATGTAGACCAGGCTGTCCTGAAACTCCGATCTGCCTGCCTCTGCCTCCCCAGTGCTGGGATCAAAGGTGTGTGCCATCACACCTGCCTCAGTAAGGACTTTTAAAAACAGGGCACAGTGTAAAATTATGTAGAAACTTGTGGAGAACCTGTGGTCACACTGCTGGGAGCACTGTACCAGGGAGGGGGTGACTAACACTCTTGGTAGTGTTTACTGTATTTTAGAGTGTTGCTCAGAGACTTTGGGGCTTTTTTTTTTTTTTTAAATTAAAAACTATTCTAATATTTGTTGCATTGTGTCTTGTGAAGATTTGTATGGAGTGTGCTAGAAGTCCTGTGAGGGGAGGTTTGGGAAGTGGTATTCTTCCTGGGTTGGAGAGTTTGTGGTATTCCCTAACTATGGTGGGTGTCTCCTTCTCCTGTCTGTCCTCCCACCCCCAGGCGGGGCTCAGTCTAGTAATGTCCAGTCAGTACTATTTACATTCTGTCCCCAAAGAGAAATCCTACCCTAGCTTCCCCTTGTCTCTTCCACAACCTTGGCATTTGTCAAATATCTTGCTGCTATCGTTTGGATATTGGCTGCCTTTCGGAGGTCTGCTGCCTTTCGGAGGTCCGTGTGTTAAAGGCTTGTCCCCCCTGAATGTTGGAGGACCTTTTCCAGGTAGGGCCCAAGATTTGGACTTGATGGCACATAGCCCTAATCTCAGCACTTTGGAGGCTAACAGACTCAGGGTTCTGCCCTTGTCTTACTATGGAAGTCACTTGATAAGACATGAACTCCATTTCCTCTGTCTCCCTCTGTTCCCCTTTTTCTCACCCCTTTCTTTCCCCTTCCCTCCCCTTTCCTTCTCATCCGGCTGGCCTTGAACTCCTGATCCTCCTGCATTTACCTCCCAGGTGCTATAGGTACACTACCATGCCGAACTTTCCTTTTTTTCTTAAAATACTGTTGGTTTACTACATCTGACTAACTTCTTGACACCTCTGGATGCTTCGTCATTTAAGAGGTGAGGAACAAAGGAGGTTAGGGGTGGGGAGAGCCCATGAAATATGAGAATGGAGAGCTGCCATCATAGAAGCTTAATGAAGAAATTGTTCCATGCCCACTTCCTGAGGACCAGAGCTTAGCCACGCCCCAAACCAAGCACACCCACGCTAGCACCTCACAAGTAACACAGTCTCCCCTGTCTCCCAGAGGCCCCCTTCCCAATGTTGGAGCCAGAGGCTTGCTTCTCTCTTTTCCCACATTGGCTTTGCTCTTCTTGCATGCAGTGTGGGAGCGGTAATCACCTTAGCCTGCCCTTACTGAGCTCCGTAGCTTCCTGTGGCTCCTGGGATGGGATGAGGGAAAGACAGACACACAGAGAAGCTTGGAGTGGTGAGCCGAGCTCTGTGATGGAGAAGCCGCAGCACCCTGCAGGCACATGTTTATTATAGACAGCTGAACAGACAGCGGAACAAGGAGGCAGCGTTAGCTTACCTCAGGAGGAACAGGCTCTGTAAGGGAGCTGTCTTGAGGCTGTAAAGTACCCCAGAGGAGAAAGCTATGGGGGACATTTTTTGCTCTCACTGTGAACATCTGCACACGGACCAAGAGGAAGGCTGTGCCATCCTCTGTGGGTGTGGATGGATCGTGTGTGCACTTTTCCTGTGAGCCTGATACTAGGGGTTCTTGACATGGCCGGCTCAACGTCAACAACACACATTAGCTCAAGAACGTCATACATTCAGACTTTCTCCACTATTTGCTTATTATTATTATTTATTATTATTATTTCCTCCTTTTCTTCTTCTCTTCTTTTTTTTCTTTTTCTTTCTTTTTTTCTTTCTTTCTTTTTTTGTTTGTTTGTTGGGACAAGGTTTCTCCCAGATGCTGGGATTAAAGGCACGTGGCACCAGGTTCTCACAGCACAAAGGTGCACCCATCCTCCTGTCCTACTACCTTGTGGCCCTAGCCTGCTGCGTTTCCCTCCATCACTTCATGCTTGTCTGCCATGCAGACGCAGACGTCCGTTGCATGTCCTGCCTTGGGGCCTCTGCTGTCCTGCTCTGCGTCTGGTTCACTACATCCCTTTTCCAGCTGGTGGGCAGGTCACCTCAAAGACTTTCCTCACTCCCTCACTCCCTTAACCTGGTCAGTTTTTTCCTAGTACTTACATTCCTTGACCTAAATACATACTTCTTATTTTATCTACCAAAAGAAGCTCCAGGGGTTTGGACCGTGTTGTGTCCCCCACATTGGCATGGCTGGCACCGGGCAGGATTCAGTCTATACATACTTGTTCAGTTGATGCTCCCTGCTGACCCTGCATGCTTACCTATAGGATCTCCATGTCCTTGTCAAGTATGACAGAAATGAAGACGATAGGTCCACCTGGACTGAACCTCTGCTCAGCTACTCCCCAGCTATATGATCCCATACGCTTTACTTCTTCAAGGTTCTGGTTTTCTCAGTATTAGGTTTGTGTTTGCAGTTATCTATGCTGTAGGCTTACATCAGAAATGAATGAGGGTGGGAGATGTAGCTCACTTACTAGACAACCTGGGCTTGCTCCCCAGTGAGTCGTAAACCAGGCGTGTGGCACATACTGTAATCCTGTCACTTAGGGGGTACAGGCAGCAGGATCCACTGCTCTAGGTTATTCCTGACTGTATTAACAGGTTCAAAGTCAGCCTTTCTACATGAAACCTCATCTCAAAAAACAACAATTAAGTTTTTTAAAGTACAGAAGTTCTCATACAGAAACATTTTCCTAGGCAGTAGGAAGTCCAGGCTTAGCATTTTCTGACTACAAAAAAGTCTCAGGACTGTCCTTGAAGATTTGGGAATTTGTCCCCACCATCCTTGGTTCTGTGCATTCTACAAGGGGGAAAGGAGCAAAGAGTTTCCTTCCCTTTGAAGAACTTTCCAGAACATTCCTAGGACTTCTAGTTCGGTTTGTTTGACTACAGTGTCGTCTCCCAGGCACCACTAACTTCAAGGGACAGGGAAAGAGTACAGTGATATTTATAAAATTCAGGCTCTGGGGCCAGAGAGAGGCTCAGTGAGTAAAGGTGCTTGCTACAAAGTCTGACAATGATGGAAGGAGAAAGCTGACTCCTACAAGTTATTCTGACTTCCCAGTGTACACTGTGGTACATGTGCCCTTCCTCCCGTAAGAAAATAGTTACAGCCGCGGTGGTGGCGCACGCCTTTAAGCCCAGCACTTGGAAGGCAGAGGCAGGCAGATTTCTGAGTTCGAGGCCAGCCTGGTCTACAGAGTGAGTTCCAGGACAGCCCGGGCTATACAGAGAAACCCTATCTCGAAAAAAAACAAAAACAAAAAAAAATAGTTACAAGAATTTTTTCAAATGTTAAAATGAGTCAGGTTCTACATAGCAGGATTGATATTGGAGTGCATTCTGGACCTGAACCAAGGAATGCAGCTACAGCCTGGTACCTAGAAGGCACTGTTGTTACTATTGTTCATCCTGCTGGGGGATGGAGTTCAGGTCTCTCGAGCATTCTACCACTGAACAATACCCCTTACTGTGTTGTTTGTTTTGGTTCGTTTTTTTAATTTACTTTTTCTTTGTTTATGAGACAGGGTTTTTCTGGGTAGCCCTGGAACTCACTCTGTAGACCAGGCTGGCCTCGAACTCAGAAATCTGCCTGCCTCTGCCTCCCAAGTGCTGGGATTAAACGTATGCACCACCACCACCTAGCTTTTAATTTACTTTTTTTAAAAAACATGGTTTCATGTATCCTACGTTAGTTCTAAGCTTTCTAGGTAGTCAAGATGACTGACCCTCCTTCCGCCACCTCCTGTGCCACCACATGTGGTTTACTCAGTGTTGAGCATTGAGCCTGGGCCTTTGTGCATTCTAGGCAAGCACTCTATCAACTGAACTATATACCCCGAGCCCAATTTACTTATTCTTTTGAATCTTGCTTTGGAGCTCATTCTGCTGCCAGCTCAACAATTCTTCCTCAGCAAGATCCCAAGTTCTAGAATTAGACACTCGTGCCAAGACTTCTGGACTTTGATTATTTCTTTTGTGCTTTCTCTCTCTCTGTGTCTCTGTCTCTGTCTCTGTCTCTGTCTGTTTCTGTCTCTTTCTCTCTCTGTCTGTGTGTGTGTGTGTGTGTGTGTGTGTGTGTGTGTGTGTGTGTGTGTATACGTGGGGAGGATACCTGTGTATGTGGGAGGGGGTGTGAGTGTATATGCATACCTATGTGTGTTTGGAGGTCAGAGGTCAATGGCTAGTGTCTTCCTTAATTACTCTCTACCTAATTTTATTTTTGCTAAATGTTTGCATTTTCATTCATGTGTATAGTTGCTTTGCCTGCATGCGTATCTGTGTACCACATTACCATATTTGTGACTGGTGTTTGTGGAGATCAGAAGAGGATATCAGACCCTCTGGAACTGGAATCACAGATGTTCTCCTTGTGAATGCTGAGCATCAACCGTGGGTCACCTGGAAGAGCAGCCAGTGCTCTTAACATCTGAGCCACCCTATTTTGTAATACAAGGTCTCTGAGTGAACCTGGAGCTCAAGGATTTGGCTAGTCTGGCTGGCCAGTGAGCCCTGTCATCCTGTCTCCACCTTCCCACCGCTGCTATAATTGGCAGAAGCCACCGCATCTGGCTCCAAATTTTGCAAAGCATTATTTACTCTGTGTCTGGTGTGTCTGGAGGTGTGCATGTGCTAGGGCAAGTGTGTGCAGGTCGGAAGACAACTTTGTCAGGTTGGTTCTCTCACCTTCATGTGGATTCTGGAAATGGAAATCAGGTGGCCAGGCTTGTGTGGGAGGCATATTTACCTGCTGAGCCATCTCCCCAGCCTACTTACTCATTTCAGAAACATGAAGGCATGTCATTTGGCTAGTAGCACGCAGCATCATGGTAATGACCAAACATTGGCAGCAATGGCATTCTTGAGTGGAGACCATCTGAAATCAAATGAGAGGTAGAGGTGGGTGGGGGCGGGGCTGGAGAGATGGCTCAATGGTTAAGAGCACTGGCTGCTGCTCTTCCAGAGGACCTGGCTTCTATTTCCAGGACCACATAGTGACTCAAAACCATCTGTAACTCCAGTCTCAGGGGATTCAATCCCCTCTGCCTGGTACAGCACAAACATGGTGCGGAGACAGAGATGCAGGCAAACAGATATCCCTGTAGTCAGTTTTCTTCTTCTTTTTTTTTTTTTTAAAGATTTATTTATTTATTATATGTAAGTACACTGCAGCTGTCTTCAGACACCCATATGAGGGCATCAGATCTCATTGTAGATGGTTGTGAGCCACC